CGGCTTATACTTGTCATCAAGTTTCAATAAGACGGCTATCAATAAGATCGGATGGGATTAAAATGGGATTAAATCACCCACAGAGCTTGATATGTACTTACAGTGCAGACGATTTGCGTCCCCTCATGAACGGTAGAGTGTAACTGAACTTAACATTTTGGCTGCACCAGGATTTACTTCTGACCTGATAACTTTAATGATGATGCTCAACCTCTAAGCTACACAGAGCTCAGTATGAGATAGGATATATACTAATTATTTTGGTTCAGTAACTGTGATTGCTTGTAAAGGTAACAGCTTTTGGGTGATCATCTTGCAGCTGACGCTTCTGCATTAGAGAGGAAGGACTTATTGTCCGAACTTGATTTGATGAAGCAACTAGCGCCTCATCCTCATGTCATTAAACTACTGGGATGTGTCACAAAATCTGGTAAATATGGAAAAGTATACTTCAATAGCCCATAAAATTATCTTCGAGTAAATACCTAGTTCTTCAGAGACATGTCATTCACCGCTCGAGCGTTTTCTTCGGAAACACAAACTTGGGGTAAATTTACACATGCTCCTTTTCCATTCGGCTCTTAGTTATTTTGTGTAATCTTCGGTCAACGACCTCTAATTACCAGGTATGGTTGTCGGTTTCCTTAATGCTAAACGTTCTTTCTTGTCATCGTGAAATATCCCATATATTCTGAGTGAATTGAAAATACATCTATCTTGCAATAGGGCCATTAATGGTATTGATTGAATATGTTCCATATGGGGATCTGCTTGGTTACCTGAGAAAGAGCCGTGGATTAAACGACACTTACTACAAAGACCGGACGTCAAGCCACAAACAAATCTGACATCGCAGCAGCTGATGAAATTTGCGTGGCAAGTTGCCGATGGAATGTCGTATTTGTCATCGATATCAGTAAGTACACACTATGGGCCGGTTATTTTAACAAAGCTTAGCTGTTCTTTCACAAAACCACGTTCTAAAACTATCTAACCTGAAAATTCTACCTGAACATTCATAATTGTCAAAAAAATCAACCCTTTTACGGAGAAAGCCCAGTGACTGCGTAAAACCGCGGTTTAGGTTAGACTTCGTGTAAATAACCGGCCCCATACATTTAGTTTGAGACTTACAGATTGCCCATCTTACTTAAAACGGACCCTCGTGGCAATTCTTTTTTCAATTCTCTCGCATCCTCCCAAGTCGTTCCAACATCAATAATTTGTTGAGCTTTGCTATAGATTATCCATCGAGACCTTGCAGCTCGTAATGTGTTGATTGGAGAAGGGGAAATGTGTAAAGTGACAGACTTTGGCATGGCCAGAGATGTCCAAGAGGACAACATTTATCAACGGAAGTCAAAGGTACCAAACGATTTTAAGCTGATAATTATGTTGAAATTAATGTAAATTTGTATGAGTGTCTGCGGTTTTAACTTTACATAGGTCATGGGCTCTCTCGGCTTCTTTTCTAACACATTAAATCACTGCTAGGACTGCTTCAGTTAGCTAGAGATCTGTCTACAGTCTTGCATTGGTTAAGTTGCATTTATCCTTGATCATGATCTTTTTAATATCCTTAATCATGATCTTTCTAATTTAGGGGCGTCTCCCTGTCAAATGGACTGCCATTGAGGCATTGCTGTACGGAAAATATTCCACAAAGAGCGATGTGTGAGTACAAGGACTTCATAAGGTCTATAAGCAAAATGGGAAAAGTTATTGGATGTCTTCTGTATGTTAGGTATTGCATTTTTTTAATTGATGTGGAGATGTGGAGGAATCTTATTATGAAGGAGTGGTAATACTCGTTCTGGCTTAGATTTGTGAGTAATGTCCCAGGTTCTGCTCTTGTAACGGGTCTAGTGAGCTTCCCACGAAGAAGTTTCATTTACTTTTTTTTTTAACAGTACGGAAGAGAACGTTTATTTTCCTTCCTCGTTTGTTCTACAGGTGGAGCTACGGAGTTCTCCTCTATGAGATTTTCACGATTGGTAAGTTGTGAGATTAATGACCAGACCATTAATTTTAGCGTCAACGTGTCAACAAAAGTGGCACTTGTATCGACATGTGGTCATAAAGTAAGCAGGGTGTACCGTTCTCTGAGGAATTCGGTTTTGCCTTTGTGATTTGTAACTGCCAAGCCACCTTAGATTGCCTCAGTCGCTGAACTTATTCGAAAAAGACAAAGGAACAATGGTGTAGGAATTATATTGTAAAAATATATTTACAAGTGTTGGGCCCTTCTTGAAAGAGTGCATTGAGAGTACCTGCTTTATTTTAGGTGGTTCACCTTATCCAAGGATGGATGGAAGAAAAATTGCAAAGTTGCTAGAGGAGGGATACAGAATGCCTAAACCACAACATGTGGATGAGAAGTTGTATGAAGATTGTGTTGTTGTCTTTTTTTCGTTGCCTTTTCTCTTACAGCAGTAATATTTATTTTAAATGTTCTTTTTGCTAAAGAGGCATGCACAGCCAAAATTAAACCCGTTTTATTTTCCGAGCCAGCCTTCTTAAGGAAAATATTGGAATGAGTCAATGATCACGAGTTTGTCTCTTGTGGTGATTGAAGAAAGAAGCAAACTGTCCTACCGTATATGCAACATTTTATGTCTAACAATATCCTAACTGAGGCCAGTGAGAACATACTGAGATATCCTTGACGTCTTTGTGTTTAAGGTATAAAATAATGGCAAACTGTTGGAAAGACGAGCCTCACTTGAGACCATCTTTTGAGAAGTTGAGAAACGAACTCAAAGAAATGGAAAACCAGCACAAGGTAGGTTTGTGGAGTTAACTGTGATCGTTCAAAGTTTTATCTGACTTTCATAAACTTACAATCGTGGAATATCGTTAGTTTAAAGTCGGCAGATTTTGTGTATTTTAATTTATAACGAAAATTACTGGAGTTTCGAAGCTACTTTATCTAAATTATGAGGTAAAAATAATGGATCAGAACTCCAGCGAGTATTCTTGTACAAGTTTTAAAGCTTGTTCTGAAAACATGGAAAGGGGATTGATTTTGTGTTTCAAGATATTCTCTGAATCCATCAGTGAAAACCCAAAGAAAATGCTAGGTTGTATTTAGTTAATACCAATAAGCTCCTTTGAACGGTCAGTTGGGTCTGTAAACAAGCACACTGATATTCTTTGCCTTTTTCTATTCCTTTTTTTGATGTACCACTGTCAAATGCATGTAATAATGGCGTCACTATGAAGTGTTCGAAAGTTGCATGTCTATTTTATTTCGGTTATTTCCAAGTATAATATCATCACCAACATGCTCTTCACAAACGATAAAAAATCATTTTAAATGGGGCCTTTATAGCGAGCGATTAAGATTTTCTAATTTTTACCCCTTTTTTCGCAGGGGCTGATAAACTTAAACAATTACGACGGTCGACTCTACGTTAATGTTGACGATCTTGCTGTGTAAGCGATTGCATTCTCATGGAGCAAAGGATGGAGTGATAAATCTTGCAGCGCTATGATATGCAATTTTCCCTGTGTATTTGAAGTTAAACTTTCATTCTATGTTAATACAAAACAAGCTATTGAACAGTGAAGCGAGGAACAGCTGTATAGCTTTTTTAAAACTTTATGTTGAAAAGACAAATGATTTTTTGGAAAAGCATATCAAAGTAACTTTTTATCGGTGATAAAAATTAAAATTAATTTTTGAGAGTAAACATCTATTTTCGTGTAAAGTGTTAAAAAAAAAAAAAAATTGTTTCAATTGTCTCTTTTTCGGAGGCTAAAATAAATGACAAAATATGAAAAGACACTTAGTATAGTGAACGTAAAAGATTAACTATTGAGGAACCCACTCTATTGATCAGAAATTTTTTGTTACTTATGTAATTCAGTGCGAAGGCTGAGAAGCCCGACTAAGCCCCAAGGAAACGGCAATTCCTTTTGCTTTGCTCTTCTTGCAAATGATCATCAGTCCTTGGGGAACTTATAACAATAATAAGTGTTGCTATGACAAATTTATTTGAAGGTTGTTTTTTTTTTAATTGCACTCTTAATTACAGGAATTGTTTATTAAGCTAATGATTGAACAAAAGTATTTTTCTTTTGTTATTTAAACGGTTGCTTTTCGCTCAAATTTTCATGTTAGTTTGATACATTTTCGGGATCAATATCAGTATCTAAGCAACTGCCCCTCCCCTAACCCAACAACAGTCTATTGATAACAAGTTAGGGTTAATGTTGGGTTAGGGAGGGTAGGTGGGCAGTTGCACAGATACTGATATTGATCCCATTTTTCTGTGTGTGCGTAACCGTCGGAAAGCGCGGAATAAAGTTTGTGAGTTGTACAACGTCGTAAAAATTAATAAATAGTTTTCATTTGTGACCATAATGGGGCGTTGAAGTCTTGAGCGGCATCCTCTGTTTGAGAATCCCATTTCCACATTGACCAAATCAAGGATGAATAAGTATTCTGGTTCGTGGCGAGAAGAACTGGCCAAGATAACACTGATCGTCACTGCCCACGTAAAATTGCGCATAGAAAAATGCAACTACATCACAGTATAGTTTCCATGAACATCAAGATGAACCGATGAGGAACGCCAATTATAAGATAGCGGTCATTTTCGCTTAGGCGAAATCTTAGACTCTCAGGAATACGTCACATTCTCTCTTCTAGCAAGTAAACATCAATTATTGGGGAGTTTATCAGAAACTTTCAGGGTAGTATGAAATTTGAGACCGGTTTTTCGATAAGGTCTAATTTGGTGTACGTCATAGTTTGAAGCCTTTCAAAGGTTTGGATGGCCACATTGATCCTACTTCATTAGCTCTGATCAAAGGCTCTCAAACGCTCTTCAACGAAATTCGTGTCTTTATGTATTTATCATTGCTTGTGTTTGAAAACGGCAATGGCCGCTAAAAGACCTAAAAGGCCTATCATTGTGTGAAGTGTATTGCGTTACATAGCGTTACTATTTTAAAGTCTTATAAGGACATCTCCTACTACCTCAGTTATATTGTATGTCTTTTTTCCTTGTAAAATGACGGATCACAAGTATCGAATGGTAAATATATTACCTTAAACACTGAATTAAGGACGGTTAAAGTAGACCAATGAAAGGAGTCACTTGATCTATGAATACTCTATATTCTGCAAGGCGACATCATCCATGCCTCCATACATGTCTAATACACACCCATAGATTCCGATGGAAAACGTGGTTTTTCGATTTAATAGGCAAAATTCCATTTGTGACACCTTCTAACGGAAGAAAACAGTTCGGCAGGTCAAAATTTTTGCCTGGAGTTTTTAAGTCTCTAATACAGAATCTGAAAGTGAAAAGTTCAGTGAAATCCAGCCGAACTGATGCTCATAAAAACACGCGAGTTTTTTCACATGACAGTTAGAAAACAACTGTTCAAGGCTTGTACTTTATGAACGAAGGCCAGCCGAACTCACTGGAACATAAAGGTTGCTCGGGATGACCCAAAGGAAAGAATAATATAACAAGCGGTTAGCTGTTCACTTGAAGGGCGGCCGATTTAATCTCCGAGGTTTGCTTCACTGCGATGACCGGAGATTGCCATAATAAGCTGAGCTAGCCGCGATGGACTGCAGCATGATCGCTGAGTCGCTCTGACGCCGTTATGATTAGTGTGAATTTTAAAAGTTATGCCAGTTTGGCTATATTTTTCATCACTCCTGTTTTGTTCTGTATTTTTGAACACGAAACTATATATACTATCGGAGTGTTAGCTGTATTTGATTTTTATTGCCGTACGTGAGCTTGCAATGAAACTGGTGACCAATCTAACCGAGCTTGAGAACCTCCAAAACTCGGACTGCCCATTTCGTTTCCTCTTTGAGGATTTTCGTCTCTGGTAACGTTTACGCAAGTTACGGCGCTTAGCAAGTTTACAAACCTTTGCTTGGTTCTTTTGTTGTTACTTGCCGGCTCGCTCGTTCCGAAATTCCACTTTAAACGTTTAACGAAAAAAACAAAGCTTGAGAGAAGTCCGGGAAATGGTCAGACGTAGAACAATTTGACAGGTGGCATGACAGCTTTAGCTCAGCTCTATGTTTTACCTTATGATAGAGCACGCGCTTTCAATCAATGACAGCGCGCGTCATGTCCGAACTTTCGAATAATTCTCTTTTGTGCAGTACGTTTTAAGGTGATATCTCCTCATCTGTATGTTCCTTATGAAGGGAAAGCCGGATGAGATTGTGCAAGAGAAAAGAAACATTTCTTTGTGCTGTTAACCTGTCTCTTCGGCAGAAATGTCTTCTGAGTTATACTCCTCAAAACCGTCATTTGGGTATCCTCCATTCTTAAAGCGTACTTTGAAACTCTATACACTTTTTATTAAAGGTGGAGCGTGACGAATTCGTTTTTAAGAGGTGCAGCGCTTCTCCTTTTACGAATTCTTTATTTGCGCCTGATGGATGAAACGAATAAAAATTCGTGTATTAGAAGGTCTTTCTCTCTTTGTGGTGCGCTTGCACGTTAAGGGTCGATTCCCAGTTGAATATCTTTCGTCTAGGAACGTAATTTCTGACTTTGATATTTTTACAGCTGGTGTCTCAGCAAGACTACAATTTGGATTCTATCTGAATCTCGTCAGGTTTCTCCTAAGAATGAATTTGTCACGAAGGAACGTCTGGAGTCGCGTAGCCCCGTCAACACTTTTTTTAACTTTCGAAGGATCGGCAACAAACAGTCAATTTTCATTACATTCCACGTATTCGCGCTATTCTAGCTGCCTCAGAAGATGTTCACTCGACTGCCACAGGATGCAAATATTTTACTTTTCTTTTACGACCATGATGCAAAGTAACCAGCGTGCACACATCGCCTGGCTCCACCCAGTTCTGTGGCTTCAGTTTCAGACCAATCCATCTACTCCCCCCCCCAAAAAAAAAAATCTGCTATTGATCGAAAATGAAATTTATACTTTTCTCCTTAATCCTTAATAATGAAGTTATTTCGTGCTACTTTAGTTCTTTGGCTAATTGCTATTTTGCGCGGAGTATCAGGAGAAGCAGGTAAGAGTTCGCATTGGACGACAGAGAGATGTTTCAGTCCCAGAGTTAACCTTTTAATTACGTTCAGCAAGCAGTTAAGTTCGACAAGTTCTGCCGCGCTACACGACTCTGGTGCGAAAGCGATTCAAACTGCGGAGCCAAACAAAATTCATAAAAACATGATTATATATTTTTGCGCGACTGTGCTCCCGCGGGGTGTTACGACAATTACTTCTTACTTAACATTAGTGCGAACTTCTCTGTGCCACACTTTTGAGCGTTAACTAGGCTACCCGTGTTAAATGATAGAAGTAGAATGCTATTGAAGGCGATTACATTTTTTCTCACCGTTTATGACTCGAGGGCGAGGGTAGAGAGCCTCCCATGAACCGATGCTATAACTGTTGATACCTCGCTCGAGGCTGAGAGTCTAACATGTACACTCTAGAGAATGGGCTTTGACGAAAAACTCGATCTTTAAGAGGGGCGTTTCGGCTGATACTTCAACCCTATCTCAGCATAGATTCGGGGAATTTAAATATCATGCGAATTTGGAGTTTAATGAGATCGAAGGATCAACGTGAATGACCTATCTCTACTTCTCATGATTCATATGTCTGGATACAGACCACATATTTTTAGGCTGTTATGTGTTGAGCTTCAAAACAACTTCAACTGGATATCCGCCAAGTGATTTATGTCAAAAAGAAATACAGTTCCGGTCACGTAATATATACATTTAGCCAAGCGTAAAGCGGGGCTCTTGTTAGTTTATTTACCAGCCCCTCACCTCACTCGCTGTCGTAGTGTTCATTTCACGGACCAGTCCGGGGGAGTAGTAAGGGGGGGGAGGGGGTTGACAAGGTCTGGTACACGCATGCTAGTCAGGGGAGGGGAGGATGTTGACAAGGTCTGATAAACGCATGCTAATCAGCTGTATTCTCAAGCAGCTGAGGACTGTCGTCGGTGTTCCTGACGTTTTGAACGGATTTTCGAAGATACACTACATCTGAAGATCTTCTTCAGATGTAGTGTATGAAGCCAGTATCAGTTGGAATTATATTCTACTGAGCGTCACTAACATTTTCGGTTTGGGAGAATGAGCCAAACTTGGAAAACACGGGGTAAACGACATTGAGGTGAGACAACACAGGTCGATAAGAACAGTAATTCAGTAAAACAATACGCCAAAATCGAATGGGTCTCTCTTATATCTTCTCTTGAAGTTGCCAGGTTTGACTGCTTGCTCCATTATTTTTTCTCTACCGTTTCCTCCTCCTTTGATAAGCGTAGAAAGTTAAAAAGAAAAATAACTTTCAACTCGTGTTAGCCTGTTTTTTTGTTTTAAATTCTCCTTTGACATTCACGTTTCATAATTGTCCTCTACCGGGGTCTCGCATTAATTGTAACCTCACGAGAGTGCTTTAAAAATAGCAATTTGCTGATGAGAAAATGTAAGAGGGCTTTCCCTTTTTCATTTGAAAAATACAGACGTTTTCATCTTTCCACAAACTTTCCACGGACTATCCATTTCTCTTTCAGGATTTTTGTCTTTGTTCACGTTATAAGAACATAAATTACGGGGTTCGGCACGTTTTCAAATCTTTGTTTGGTTTTTCTGTTGCTACTTGCTGGCTCGCTTATTCCGAAATTTTTACTTTCAATTAACGAAAAGAAGCTAGAGAGGAGTCCTGGCCGATGAATGGATATTTTAGAGATTGGCAGATGGCGTAACAGCATTAGCTCAGCTCCGTTTTTTTTTTTACTCTGATAAAGCACGCTATTTCAAGCAATGACATCGCACATTATATCAGAACTTTATTGTAAAATAGTTTATAACATTCCTCTGCAGAAACTCTTATTGAGAGACCAGCTGAACCAGTTCCTTGGTACTGGTATATCGTACACGAAAGTACAGAAGGAAGAGGGGTGAGTTACTTGATTTTAGTAGCCCATGTCATGAAAAAACCTCTCTTCCGTGTACTATTAAACATTAACTTTATCACTATTAGGTACATGTATACATGTTTTGTAACAGTAATTCCCACTTATCAAGGAAATCAAGGTAGTAGTTAAAAAAACTGGCAAAGGAAGCAAGCCATGGGCGTTTGAAATCCAAGTTAATGTGGGTAGGAAGATCTTTAGGGAAAAACATGAGCCCAGAGAGACTAGCGCATACACAGTTCATGAACAGTAAGTGATCTAAAACTTTTGCATCTCAAGTCTCTTCGTTACTCAAACCAAGGATAATTTCCCACGATTTGGTCCAGGCATGTACTGTATTCTTGTTAAGATAAGGCATATCTTATGTGGTAAATATTGCAGAACAAGCACATTCGCTGCATTTGAAGTAGATTGGATTATTGTAGATTCTTGATTTGCGTTGAAAACAGTGAAAGTATATTATTAGATAATTAGATTTTGTTCTTCTAGAATTATTGATGTTGAACACAGTTAAAGCATTAGCCCATCTCATAATGCTCCATAGTTGCCTAGTATATGTGCAGATATTCCTAGTAAAGCGTACCTTCAGTACATGCATGTTTTGCATAGACCATCTCTTTTGGTGTAAATATTTTACTACTTCATGATTGATCAAAAAATTTTTTTTATTTTCTTGCAGTGGACACATCCTTCAAATGTATCGCCATATTACTCAGTCTGTGACGCTTCTAACAAATATGAGATACCAGAGAACTGGTTAATAACAGACTTTATTAACATCAAGGATGCTACACGACTCGATATTGAAGTGACCTATACCCTCCTTAACTGCCCCTTAGCTGACGTGGGGCCATTCTGTAGAACAAACTTCTCTCTGTATTCTTATCATACTGATTTCAAATATAATCCAGACCCAAAAAAACTAAATTTCCTCAAAGAAACTGTGATAACTCCAAAAATTCTTCCTATACCTGGGGAGCGCACAACAGACACATTTGATGGGTCAATAATAACAAAAGCGAAGGGAATTTATTTAGCATTATTAGACCAAGGAACCTGCTTGACAATAAGAAGGTTTGTTTTAAGATATCGTTTCTGCTCTGAAACGGTCCCTTCCAAGTTGGTTAGATTTCCAAGAACACTTGCCCCAACAAATGAGATCAATCTAACCAAACAAGAAGGAGAATGTACAGATCCTAACGCGATTAAGAAAAACAACAAAACGTTATTTGCCGTGTGCCTTAGTAATGGGGAGTGGAACATAACAGATAACTCAGCCTGCCTTTGCAGTAATGGTTATGAGTTGACGCATGGATCTTCAGACTCTTTCACATGCAAAGGTTAGTGGTGCACTTGAAACCTGGCTTTGCCTCTGAAGCTTTAAGTCCAAAGTAAATATTTAATCATTTAAATGGTTCAATATCTAAATTACAACCCCGTTTGTTCATATTTGATAGGAAGCTTATTAAAGGTTCGATGCATAACTTTCATGAAATTGGACTGTGTAGCCATACTTCGTATGTTCACATAAGTCAATCGGTGGACGTAGATAAGTGGCCTAGGATGTATAACCCGAAAGCGAAGACCTAAGAACAAAGAACCCCTTTTGGCTGAGTACCTTTTCGTTTTGCTTCGTCTTCGTATTTTTCGCAGATGGATGTATTTATCTATTGGCCCGTTACGTTCAAATTCTCTGATCACAAATCGTCACCGAATCGATTTATTTTTAGAGCAGACACGTTAAATTTCGACATGGTCTGCGAAGAAAAATACAAATCGTCGAATTCATAAAAAATACAGATCTTCTAATTCTTAAACCCTGCCCCTCCAATTTGTTACTTTGTATTGGTTTATTCTTCATTTCTTTTTTTTTAGATATGCAAGAGTAAGAGTGTTTTAGGGTCTTTGTTTTCAGGTCTTAGAGACTTAGGTCTGAGAACCGCAGGTTAGGGGTTACATCAAAAAAAAAACCTGAATGATTAACGAACAGGGAAGCTTTGACTGTGCTCTGTCCTGTTGTTAAGCGGCTGAAGCACGAAAGAAGTGTGGGGAGAAACGTACCTAGACGGGTGTTTCTTCTTTCTTTCTTGTTAAGTGCTTTACAACAGAACAGAGCACAGTCAAGGCTTCTCTTATAATAAAGAATCCGTTAAATTCCCTACGCATTACTTTCAATTTTCAAAATAAACTTTCTTTCCAAAGCGAGCAATAGTGCCGTCAGCGTGCTCTATACTCTCATAAAGTACGCTACAATAAGCCGATCAGAATCTCTGTTAGAATGGTTCAAATAATCTGATTTGCTATACAAGACTAAAGCTGTCAAAAGTGTCAAACTACCAACGTTCAAAAACCATCAAAGTTCACATTCTGCGATAGTTTACAAACTGAAATAGTTGGGCTGGTCGAATTTAACACTTTTGCCTGAAGTTTTTAAGTCTCTAATACAGAATCTTAAAGTGAAATGTTCAGTGAATTTCAGCCAAATTAAGACTCATAAAAACACGCGAGGTTTTTCACATGACAAGGTAGAAAATAAACTGTTCAAGGCGAGTGTTTTACGAATGAACGACAGCCGAATTCACCGGAACATGAAGATCGCTTGGGATGACAGCGCCGCAAAACTCGGCCCAATGACTGATGTGACTTTCCACTCAACGCATTTGAAAGGATATCAGATCAAGCTCTTATTTTTTTCTATGCGGCCTATGTAGTTTCTGAGGCTTGCTTCACTGCGATGACCGGAGATCACCATGATGAGCGAGCCGCGATGGACCTCACCATGATCATATTCGCTCTGACACTGTCATGAATAGTATGAATTTTAACAGTTATGCCAGTTTGGTTATATTTTTCATTTCTGTTTTTTTCTGTTTTGTTTTTGAACACAAAACTTTATATACTACACGAGTGTTAGCTGTGTTTGATATTTATTACCGTACGTAAGCTTGCAATCTAACTGGGCGTGAAAATCTTTAAAACTCGGACTGTCTATTTTGTTTTTCCTTTGAAGGTTTTCGTCTCTGCCTACGTTTTAATAACGTGAATTACGGCACCTTGCATGTTTTCAAATCTTTGCTTGGTTCTTCTGTGGCTACATGCCGGCTCGCTTGTTCAGAAATTTCACTTTAGTCCACAAACCATCGAAGTTCACAATCTGCAATAATTTACAATTGACATAGTTCGGCAGGTCGAATTGAACACGTTTGCCTAAAGTTTTCCTAGTCTCTAATACAGAATCTGGAAGTGAAATGTTCACTGAAATCCGGCCGGATTGTGGCTGATAAAAACAAGTGCAAGGCGTGTGTTTTATGAATGAAAAACAGCCGAACTCACAAGAACATAGAGATTTATTGGGATGACAGTACCGTAACACTTGCCTGCTGTGAGTGGTGAGGCCTTCCACTTAAACCATCGGAAAGGATATCAGAGCAAGCTCTTAGTTGTTCACTCAAAGTGCGGCCGAGCTTGCAATCTAACTGAGCGTGAAAACCTTAAAAACTCGGATTGTCCATATTGTTTTCTCTTTGAGGATTTTCGTCTCTGCTCACGTTATCATAATGTAAATTACGGCGCTCGGCATGTTTTTAATCTTTATTTAGTTCTTCTGTTGTTATTTGCCGGCTCGTTTGTTCCGAGATTTCACTTTCATTTAACGCAAAAAGCTCTCAGTCAGGAGTGCTGCTAGTTGTAACTGGCATTTAGCAGTTACGGAGAAAAGTTTTGGTATAGCCATTTGCCTTTAGGACATTAGAAACATATTTTCTCTCCTCAGCCTTCGAAACGAGTGGAGATGGTAGACAGTGTGAACTGTGAACTGAGAGTCATTAGGAGTGAAGACAAAAAGAGTTGTCTTGGTAACCAAGCCTCTGGCGATCAATAGTGCCTAGGTTATCATATTGGCCGTGTTCAATTTCGCGTTATCGTGGACCGAGTTTTGACTCCCTTCAGCCGCGTTTTACGACTTCATCGCCAACATTGTCCAAGAATATCTGCTTCACGCACTTCCTTTTCTTGTGCTGAAGCAAAAAAAGCGGTTAATCCTGAGCCCGTTCGGGTAGCTAATGAGAAAACGGGATTCGCTTTTTATTGCCCACGGGCTCTGCCAGCGACATAATAACTGTTGTTATGATAAACTAACCTACATGTATCATGCGTGTAAATGCCAGAAAGAAATTAACTAACCAAAAGACCTCTCTTGTCAGGAAATTATGTAAAAGCTTATTGAAAACTGAAATGGCATGCTACTCTTGATACCAATTCCAACATACTGAAACCATAATCACTTGAAACTTTTAATGGATAACCTGTTAGATTTTCGAACCACTTCGTGAAAGCGGTCACCCCTTGGTCCCTGTTTACATTTTAGATAATGGTATTTGCTTATATGCTGGAAAGAAATATTGATCATGATATGCAAAGAAGTTATCAAAATATCAACAAGTCTACGTTCATTTGTCTATCATTGTAATTGTAATGTTTTTTACTTTACGTCCAGTCGTTCCAGTAATTAACATAACCATGGTCTTTACCAATGAAGGTTGTACTAATGGAAAATTCAACCAATCCTCATTAGTGACGAGGCTAAAAAAAGTGGTAACCATTTTTTTGTTTTATCTAGCTATTCATATCTAAATTACTAATATTTCTGCAGTTGCGGTATATTACATGCAAATCCATGCAATTGCAATTATAGCTTCGGTTGTTTTTCAATTACAGTTAACCGCAATTGAAAAAGAAACTTATTTGAATAAACTCAAACATTCCGAGTGAGTCTGTGCGGTGCTTTCGGATGCATGCTCTGATGTGGTGTTTGAAAGACGTTATTAATTACAAATTGAAAATAAACCATCATTTTTATTCTGTAAACATTGATATGTTTACCTGATTGTGTGTGGTGATCTTTAAAGGTGCTTTTCGATTTCATGTTCAGTTTGCTGTTGTTTCCATTAACAGATGGAAGAGGCTTTTCCTGGGAGATTTACAGGTCTCAGAAGTGTGCAGTTGAAAAGTGGCATTAGGTTTGTAAACTGCCTGGATTAGCAAATGAATTATAATTTTCTGGATTCTAAGGTGCTCTTCTTTATTTTAACCCTCATATTTTCTCTTAATTAAGGTGTGGAAGAACAACTGTTAACCTAGCACTTAAATTTAATTCCAAAACAAAAGAGCAAGATGTTATTGCAGTACTTCGTAATGCTGCCAAAGATGGAAAGCTTGGAGGCTTCAATGTGAGTGCAACAAAAAGGACAAGATCGCAAGCTGATTTCGACACTGGAACTACAGAAGCAGGCACAGTAACGCTAACTGCTGACAGTAAGTTTTAAGTCTTTTGATACATACACTGTAGTTGACTAGTAGCAAGATTTCACAGGAACGTTTATCCCTCATATGTTCTTCAGTGAAGTGGTTAATTGGAGTGGGATTTAATTACGAGTATATTCAGCATTTGGAACATTCTTCCTTTGTAAATGGTATCCACGTCAGCGTACTTTGTTGCATTGATTTGTTAAAACATCATACGTATGTAGTCTAGTATCTCATTCTGCATGACACCGCAAAAGATAAGGGCTGTAGGGTGATAGGATAGGTGAAGTATGAAATAACAAACAAACAGAACAATGGCGCAAACAATAACTTGCAACGCCTTTCTTTCTTAACTCCACCAGCTAATGAGCTAGGGTACTAGATCTCATCCAATAAAAAATCAACTCGTGTATTTTTCGGTGGTACTTTTACATATCTATGATATTTTTTTGATACCGCAAGCAAATGTCGCGAGAACGATAAGCCTTCTGCCCGATGTGGTTAGCATTGATTTCTGCTTGTCTTGGTTCTTTATTCAGACCCTTACATGAATTTTGTAAAGTAATGAATCGTTGCTCTTATTTTGGCAGAATAAAAAAAAAACATATATCACAAGAGCAACAAACTAGGAAAGAAAGTAAAGCATTTGAAATCAGGATCCAACATTCATTTACTTTATTTTTAGTTCTCACAAAAAATTCGGCACTGATATGATTGAGAAATGATTGAGAAGGTGCTCGTACGTACACGTATGTACTGCATACAGACTTCTTCAATAATTATAAAGTAACCACGAAAAGTAATGAAAAATGCTCCCATCGACTGTAGTTCAGTGTAAACCTAAGAAATTTCATTTTGCTGGCTCGTAATTCTAATTATTTTTGAAACATCATAAAGAATAAGTAAGGGAAGGGTACTGGTGGAATAACTGTAATCTAGTTCTCATACTTAGTTGGACTTCTTCCTGTAGGTATCAACATTACATTTTATTAGGCTTTTAAGTAATTTTACGCGAATTAGATAAAAAATTGTATGCGTAGAGAAAGGCATCAAGACTAAACTTGCTAAGAGGAGAATTGCAAACATATTGTTTGTGGAGGCATATATTCATATCTTGTTTTTCTTCTGTTTTCAAGGTGCCCTGGGGATTACTGTTGGTGTGGTGGTTGGATCAATTGCAGCACTGGCGGTTGCTTCAGGAATATTCGTCTTTTTCGTAAGGAAGTTAGGAAAGCGCAACAGCAAGAACTCAAATGGTAAGAGTAGTATTTTAAAATGCCTGCTTTGGAACATAAGAAAAATTGCGTGGTATCAGGCAACTAAGAAGTTTGTGTTGTTTGTAGCCTCATTTAAAAACAAGGCAAGTTTGGAGATTTCGAAACAGTTCTAACAAATCCCTGTTTTTAAGAGGTAAAAAGATGTGTTTGTCTAACTCCGAAATAAAAGATGTAACGAAATTATTAGATCGATTACAAACTTATTAAATTTAAAAAACCTGAAATTCCTGAAAAAAAAAAACAACTCAATACCACTGCGGAAAACACTGAAAACAAGAGTACGTAATTTTTCATTGTCAGGGTCTAAGTCTGTGGAAGCTGGATTGGCTGATACTGTGAAATCACGCGGACCGAACGTGAATACCAAAAGATGTGATTTGAGATTCACAAACTGAAAAAAAAAAATTCAACAACAGTAACGTGTTAGGCAAACCGGAGTCTTAAAGCCTCTGAGTGTTTGGGTGAGGTTAGGTGAACACGGTAAATCTCCTGTATGATCTGTTGCGTTCATGAAATACAGACATATCCAAATATTCACGACCGTGATTATATGCCCTCATTTGATCGAGTCTGTATCATTTTAATAATTCAATTATAGCCGTAGACTTAATGAGCGCTTTCTGCTTAAATTTTCCATGTATGAAATGAGATAAATGTCAGAAGACATCATTCTGCATTTCCTTTGTACTACTATTACTTTCTCTTTACATACTTTTCGAGCTGGTTTTTCATTTTTTTATACTTTCTTTCTGTTTTTTTTTCTGTTTTGGAATCAGGAAAAAGAGAAAGGTGAGATTTCTAGAACGATGAATTATCGTCGAATTTCATGTTTTGTTGCAAACTGTGTACAACTGTGAACTTGCCTAATGTTAGCATGGATTATGATAATTATGCTCAGAGCAAGAGTGTCATCTAAAGTCAGTTTCACAAAGCATCCTTAACGTGATGACTTTAAAACTGCTTACGAGTGTGGGCTATCCAGACATAATTATCTTTTCTTAGAGTTTGTCCATCAAAGGAAAGGCGCAGATGCCTAGCTCCTAATGTTTATGATACCTTTTTTGCGCCAATACAGTAGCGCAAAATGTCACATGCTGTAACTAATCATTTCATGACTAATACTCATGGAGTACCCAGAGGTGTGCTTTCCAGCCGAAAAAAAATGTCAACGTGTTTCATCCGATAGAATTTGGATTAGAGAGAAAATATGATATTCTTCTTTAACTTTTAGGAAAAACAGAAAAACAACTGAAGAAATAGGACAAGTCGTTGTAAGTTGCTTGAATATTTTAACTTTTAACCTTTTTCTGGTACAATACAGTATATCGTTGTTTTTTCCAAGAGGGCACGGTAACGAATCCTTCAATCTGATTGGTTCTTAGCGCAGTCCGGATTTTCCTACCCCTGCCAATGGGCACAGTAACCCTTTTATGGATCGCAGAGTACATTCCTCGTTTTGTTGCAAATTTTTTCGCAAATATACGTTGTAGCTCTAGTTAATGATTGCGTTTATTTTTTCAAACTCAAAAGACTGGACTTGAAATGGCGGAAGCTTCTCAAAGCCAGAAGTGCTTGGCATTGGATGTGCGGAATCGGTCACCTTCCATGACAGATTCAGGGTTGGCGAACTGTTCACAACCAGGCCAGTCTGTCACTGAAAACACCTCTCTATATCCATCACCACGTTTTTCGAAGATTCCTTCAGAGCTCGTGACTATAGAAAAAGTCGTTGGTCAAACTCAAAAGACTGGACTTGAAATAGCGGAAGCTTCTCAAAGCCAGCAGTATATGGCATTGGATGAGCGGAATCGGTCACCTTCCATGACAGATGCAGGGCAGGCGACCTGTCCACAACCGGGCCAGTTTGTCACTGAATACGCCTCCCTATATTCATCTCCACGCTGTTGGGAGATTCCCGCAGAGCTTGTGACGATAGAAAAGGTCGTTGGTCAAGGGGCTTTTAGTCAGGTTGCCAGGGCAACAGTCATAGGCCTCCAGGGGAGACCAAAGAAGACGCTTGTGGTTGTTAAGACGTTGAAAGGTATCAAGTACTTCGAATAATTAGATGTGTTTCAGTGAAATTTCGAAGTTAACACTCCCCTCGAAAGACGTAACCTCAAGCAGGTAGCATCAAAAAATTCCGCCTACTTCTCGATCCTGACGGTAGCAAGGCAAGCCCAGTCTCTCTCCCTAAATATGGAGGGGAAGGTTCGTTTAGTAGTATATCTATTCTTCAATCAGTATTCAACTAAACGTGACCTCAGTTAATAGATCAGGGTCGTGAGACAATTTGAAACCAGGTATTAACCATGAATGAGTTGAACAGTCCTGTGTACTCGAAACACGACAAGCGTCTCACGTGGCCTCAACATGAAACTTGAACGTTCGTTGTCAGCTGGTTCAGCACCCTCTGATATCAGAAGTCGTAAAATTTTCTTCCAAGTTAATCAGAAGAACTACTTTTTTTCCGCAAGAACTTATCGACACAAACGTTTTTAAGTAAAAAAGTAAATTATTGTCAACAATCAACTCTCCTCCCTCCCTCTATTCAAAGGTAGCAAATCTCAAAAACTGCTTTTTCCGAATTCAAATTGACATAAGGGTCGTCCCTTTCGACATGAAACGTCAGTGGGAAAAGAAAAATCCATGTTTCTGCTGAGAGTATGCCGCTCAGCAATTGCTTTGCAGAAGTCTTATTTTTATTAAATTAAGTATCGTTAAAGCATGGTCATACTGGTACAGCAGTGGAATGAAGGGTTTTGTCATTGTATATGTCGACTGAGAACTGTGTTTAAAATTATATTTACTTGTAGAGTGTAAACGAAGTGTTATGGTCTCAATTAGGTCGGTCTCATTGAGCTTTACACGTGAGCCCCAAAGATAAACTTGTTTAAGATATTTCATAACATTATGACTATTTCACGACCTTATGATTTTGAATAAGATGTTCAATCACCAAGCAAAACAGAGCTCAGAGTCAGAAGGGAAATTTGCAACTTAATTCGATTCAGCAAGAGAACGTCAACTGACATCCTCTTGAGTTCAGCTACTGCTGTTGTTTGTAAAGGTAACAGCTGTTGGGTGATCGTCTTGCAGATGACGCTTCTGAGTCGGACAGGAAGGACTTGATGTCCGAACTTCGATTGATGAAGGAACTCGATGCTCATCCTCATGTCACTGAACTTCTGGGATGTGTCACGAAATCTGGTAAATGTGGAAAAATATACTTTAAAAGCCCAAACAATTATTTTCATCATTTTCCAGCAGATCTCTTGCACAGTATAAACATATTTCATGTTTCTCATGCTCTACAGAGCCATTGATGGTGTTGATTGAATACATTCCCCATGGAGATTTATTGGGATACCTCAGAAAGAGCCGTGGATTGAATGATACTTACTTCGAAGACCCGGATATCAAACCACAAACAAATCTGACGTCAGAGCAGCTTATGAAGTTTGCGTGGCAAGTTGCCGATGGAATGTCGTATTTGTCATCGATACCAGTAAGCAGGAACGTTATCTACTTACTGAAATGTTACTTTGACACATGTTGCTGAAATCGGACATTGGTCCCGACTTTTTTCTTTTCATTAAATTCGTCTGGATCCCCCTTAATTCGTTTCAACATTAAAGATTTGATTTTATTTGTCGTAGATTATCCATCGAGACCTTGCAGCTCGTAATGTGTTCGTTGGAGCGGGGGAAACGTGTAAAGTGACAGACTTTGGTATGGCCAGAGATGTCCTAGATGATAACATTTATCAAATTAGGTCAAAGGTACTTAACTATTTTGAGCCAAAAGTTGGTGTCGAAATTAGCTAGGGAGAGTGTTTGTCTGTATTTTTAGATTTTCAGTTAATCACTGGCTCTGTTTGCTGTTCTCCAACATATCATATTACCGCTAGAATTTGTCAACCAAGGTAGGGATGTGTGATCAGTCTACTACACGCAAAGTTATGACTTTCATTCTTGCTCTTTTCTGCACTTTTGTTATGTTATGACTTTCATTCTTGCTCTTTTCTGCACTTTTGCCGATCAATTCAATATGCTTTTCATCAAGGGACCTATCCCTCTGAAGTGGACAGCTTTTGAGGCGCTGCTTTACGGGAAATATTCTACCAAAAGTGACGTGTGAGTACAAGGACCACATTAACATTATTTTTTAAGTTTAATGGGAATAGCCTCTGGGAAAAATTAATGGCTCATATGAGTGCGCTTCCCACAACGGCTTACAGAAGGTGTTAAAATTGTTTCCAAAGACAAGAACGATTATTTCTCTAAATTTATGCCGTTTGTTCTACAGGTGGAGCTACGGAGTTCTCCTCTATGAGATTTTCACGATTGGTAAGTTAAAGAACTGATGGACAGACCACTAATTTTGGCCTTAAAACTCGTGTTGACCCGCCAAGAAGTCGGTAGGCTCAGCTGGGAAAAAGATGAGCAATGGTGCAGGATGTTTAATGTAAAGCTATATTTACAAATGTTGGAACATTTTTGTAAGGTGTATTTTGAGTAGCTTCTCTATTTCAGGTGGCTCGCCGTATCCAAAGATGGATGGAGGACAAATTTTAACATCGCTAGAAGCGGGATATAGAATGCCTAGACCACAACACGTGGATAATAAGTTGTATGAAAAAAGTTTGTCCTTGTTGTTGCTTCTCTTACGACACCTTTTCTCTTAAAATAGTTTTTTGAAATTAGGGTCTTGAGAATTTTTGGCTGTAGTCAAAATTTAACTGGCTTTACTTGTTGAGCCAGTCTACCAACGGGAAATGTTGGAATAATACGAGTTTGTATCTTGTGATTAGTAATGGTAAAGGGACCGTGTGGATTCGAATCGGTCTGTATTCTTGCGTGTGATAGCGGGAGTCCAGTTCCTCTACTACGGATATGATTACAGACCGAATTAGACGACACGAAGTCTTATTATCAATTGATCATAAAAATTACAATTTCTGAATTAAAAAACTGACAAAGGAGGCGTGAATTGTTTAATGTCGCTCCGAAATTGTCTACAATTCAAACATAAACATTCGCCATTTGGGAGAAAGCCCAAATTTAGGAGTCTGTACATTGTTTCTATGGTGATTGAAACCAAGTTTGTGATTGGTTGATTTTAAAATACAACTTTGAATGTCCGATGAATGTTTTAAGATAACATAATTGCTGATAACTACTTTGCAAATGAATAAATGGAAAATAGGAGTTTATAAAACCAATCACAATAAAGGAAATTGCAATTTTTTGTGATTAGTAAGAAAAGGACCAAATGGTCCTACTATACCTTTATGGAAAAATCACAACATTTTAGGCCTAATAACGCCCTTACTGATGCCACCAATAAGATGCTGAGATATTCTTGACGTTATTGTTAGGTATGACTTAATGACAAACTGTTGGAAACACAACCCTAACTTGAGACCATCTTTTGAGGATATGAGGAACACACTGAAAGAAATGGAAGACCACCATAAGGTAGAGTTGTAGATTTTTCAAAGGGAATTTCTAAACTTTGATCGTAGTTTGCTCTCGCACATACAAGATACACATTAAGAGTATCGTTAACCTCTAGTTGGCAAATCTTGTGTATTGCCACAGTTCTTTAGAAAATTACAGGAGTTTGGAAGCTACTGTAACTAAATTCTGAGGTAAAAATGACAAATCAGAATTCCATCGATTGTTCTTACATTAGTTCTAAAGTTGTTTTGAAGACACGGAAATGGGATTGATTGTGTATTTCATGAAATTCTTTGAGTCCATCGGCGAAAACCTAACGTAAATACGAAGTCGTATTCAGGTAGTACAAGTGTGCTCCTTTGAACGTTCAGTTCACCTATTTTTAAATATGATTTCACCATTAATATACTCTTTTGGGAGAAAAAAAGAAAAAGCTTTATTGCAAGCTTAAGAGAGTATGCAACACTCTAAACACTTGACTGTTTTTTTCTTTTTTTTTCAGGGCCTGATAAATTTAGAAAATTACGATGATCGACTCTATGTTAATGTTGACGATCTTGCCGAGTAAGCGATTGCATCCTCATGGAGCACAGGAGGGATTGATAAATCTGAGATTATATGCTTTTTTGGATGAGGTTTTAGTCTTTCATGTGTTAATTAAGCAAGTACAGAAACAAAAAATAACAGCGACGCGAGGCAAAGTATAGCTTTCACATATTTTTATATGTATTTTTTTTTACTTTTAGTCTTGAAAAGACAAACAATTCTCTACACAAGTATATCAAAGTGGCTACCCATAATTTTTTCATCAGTGTTATAAATTTTGTTTTTTCAGACTAAGTACCTATTTTTGTGTAAAATGTGTCAAAAAAATGATTGTTTTTCCAATAAATAACCTATAAGGCGCGATAAATTTTGTAGCCATGTTAGCACGAATGTATTTTTTGCCCATGTGAATAGTTTATTATGAAATTCTCGGCTCCGAATATTGCATTTTTTAGTGTTCTGAATTGTTCAGTTAATTCCGTTTATCAGCTCGTACACCAAAGTACCTTACATGGAAAACAGTCCACGCGAGTGTTGCAAAGCTTAATTTGCTTATAACTGAAGCGAAAATTTTTCCGGTGCAATAAAAATAAGGTAGACCAAATATAAGTCAATGTCTTATATATATCAGTAATAGATGTAGAAGTCACAAATTTCAAGGTGTCACTATTTAGTTAAGGGTACATATCTTTGATGTGGAGTACCTTTCCACCTTGTAGAGATCATTAAAGGCTTCTAAGACATCTTTACCTGCTGTGTTGGTGAAGGTGTCATACTGGGGTGTATCATGTCCACATTGCCTTTCAATTTTGTTGTGGACTGGATCATGCGACGCACCACTAAGGATCAGTTCAGGGGCATAAGATGGAAACCCTTCTCCTACTTGAAAGACCTGGATTTACACCTTTGCAAAGCAAGTTGGCCTCAACATCAGCAGCAAGAAGATCGAAATCATGGCGCTGAATACTATCAACACACGCCCAGTCCAGATTGATCACGAAGAACTTCCTTACACCGACATATTCACCAATCTCGGCAGCATCATCGGAAGAGATAAAAGAACTGACCTGGACATCCAGAGCCGTCTTAACAAGGTCAGAAACTCACTCAAAACAATGAATAAGGTATGGCGCTCCTCTATTTACAGTACTCGCACTAAGCTGAAACTTTATCACAGTTACGACCTGACAACCCTCCTGTACGGCTCAGAACGTTGGCGCTTGACGGAGAAGGATTTATCAAAACTCTCCACATTTCAGACCAAGAGCCTACGCCTTTTCGGGCCCAATATCATCTTAAATAAAGATCTCTTTGAACGGTGTAGGCTTGAACCAATGGTTACCATCCTGATGAGGAGATGCTGAAGGTGGATTGGACACGTCACCTTCCCTGAAGCCTCCATAGCAAAAACTGCCCTATACTGGACACCTTAAGGGAAACACAAGAGGTACCGCAAGCCAGAGGACAATCATGAAACGCAAACAATTTAAAAAGTGACAGGTTTAAACAGGTAATCTTGAGGCAAAACAACAGTTTCAGTCATGTGTAAGCTTTAAGGTTTTGTAAAATTTTATTTTCGGGCTTCCTGTCGTGTCAGGTATTCCGCAAATTAGTGCGCTCTCCATTCTTGGGGTTACTTTCTAAGAAGATTTCCGATTTACTACAAATGCAAGAAATAAGCCAATTAAAACTAACAAATGCCTTTTATACAGTACAATCTATATAATAAGCTCAGTTATGCACGCTTTCTGATTGGTTCTCACTTATAATCTATTGGAGGACAAACGTATAGATGACGTTATCATTAAAACTTTTTATAATTCTTTATTATATGAAACAAATAGATTCCAAGTTGCCGTGCGTCTGTTCAGTAATAGATCACATAGGACGTCAAAATGTGGTAAGAACATCAGTGATACACTCGGCTGCGCCCCGTATGCCACTTTTTTGTTCTTACCACCTTTTGACGTCATCTGTGATCTATTACTGAACAGACACACGGCAACTTGGAATCTATTTGTTTTATATAATAAATAATTAAAATATTCTCTAGAGATTTGTATGGTTGAGGGCAGCCTCAAGACACGTGTGTTCTTATCAAAGCATTGTCCCTTGATAGCTAAGTGCATTATTTTCAGAGTATACAGAACAGTGATATATTTGAAGTGAGAGGAGTACAAATTGAGAATATTGAAAATAGGATGGTTTCTCAAAACAGTGTGAATGAAATCACAAACTTCAATCTAAGTTGTGCTGTAGCTTTATACTCTCTTTGCTAACTCCAAATGGAAACAAATCAATTGGAGGGTAATAGTACAAAATATGCTGGAGTATACTTCACAGGTTCATGAGAACCACTCTAACAACCCCATAAAATTAATAGTTCATCTGCTAATAAGCTTTGGCAGTGACTTTTTGTTTTCTTTTGGTATTCAAAAAAATTAGCAATTGGTTTTCTTGCATGGGTTAATAGCCATCACCCTAACACTTTGGGTTGTTTATAATTAAAAGCTTTCTCAGCCTGGAATCTTTTGTTAACCAAGAAAAATAAAACATAAGAAGACAGCCTATTTGGCAAATGGCTCAGCCCACTACAAGTCAAAACTCAAAAAAGGAAAAAAAATGGAAATAATGTCGAGTAACATGTATTGAAGAAATGGCCATTAATGTATGGCACTAACTCCCCCCACCCCACCCTTGAAAAAGGTCTTTACACTACATGACAAAAGCTGTCTTCAGCTCTCTGTATACATCTGTGAGAAACCTTCATCTCTGGCATAGCAAGACAGAAAAAAATTACAGGATAAATCAATAATTGCACAAAAACTTAGGCCCATGTAGGCGCAAAGGAAAAAACAAAGTTTCTTTCCAACAGAAAGCCCGAGTGAACGCAAATATGCGTCTAGTTGTCGTTCAAAATGTGCTTCGCTTTTGTCGGCCGCTACAAATATCCTCGGAAGGAAAGTGTAAAAGAAAGGCCGAGTTGGTTGAGCAGGCGTTTAATGCTCATTCAATGAAGCTCGCGAAAGTGTCTGAAGAGGAAAGTGAAAATGAAAATCTTATCATGGCCGAATTATTTGCCACAGACGAGGGTGTCTTACCAGACCCAGCATCTTTATTGAAATCGAACTGTAGTAGGAACCTCATAATATTTCCAGAGTTCACCTCTCCAGATACATGTAACTATCTTCTGGGAAAGCAGGTAATTTAGTGTTAACAACTGGGTTGAAAACGTAAATTAGCCACCGTAAAGGGTAAAAAAGCTGACGTTTCGAGCGTTAGCCCTTCGTCAGAGCGATTGACGAAGGGCTAACGCTCGAAACGTCAGCTTTTTTACCCTTTACGGTGGCTAATTTACGTTTTCAACCCAGTTGTTAACACTAAATTACCTGCTATACTCTCCCACCGACGCAGCACCACAGTTTCTTTAGAAACTTACCCCTTTATATCTTTTGGGAAAGACCGACGAGTACTCTGAAGAAACCTTAAAATCTTTTAAAAGCCTTACGGGTTATAAACTGTTCAAAGAGGGACATTTTCTGGACCAGTTCCTCATGGCGTAAAAATTTACCTTTCGGAAGCGTAGAATCAGAACCATTCATGTTACTTTTCGGTGTTGCCTGTTCCTGGCTGCAAAAGTGCTTCGAACGCGAACTAACCGTAGATTTCTTTAGGTCAAAGATAGTCGGATAGCATTCTGAACGTACACTTTTTCAACCAGAAATTGAAATCTAGATATCACTTTCCTTAAAATGTAATAAACAGATTCTTGGATCGCCGAGTGTCTTGAATTTTTATCTGCTCGCTTATAGAAAACTTCCCACTACTTACGCTCATTGGGCCTTGTAGGAAAGCAAAAATAACTGAGATCCGGTCTTTTCTTACTCCCACTACGACAAAGAGCAATAGCACAATACTTGACCACGGTACACGCAAAAATAAACTGTAATGGACCCCAAAAAACGCCGAGAATTCCCGATTTATCAAACGCAGATGGCTTTCCTTGCAGTGTTTGCGGTGGTGTGTTTGTTTTCATTATTCGCGCCGTATTCCCCGGAGCCTCGCTTCGGTGTTGGAGTTTCGTCACCAGTCTGTCACGCTGAAATTAGGCCATTGTTTCTCAAATATCGTTGTTCAACGGTGACATCTCATTTACATCTACATCTACTTTGTACGTTTACACTAGACTGTTGCTCCCTAAATTTCCTGAAAGTAATGCAATGTTATGTTTACATTTATCGCACAAAGATCAAAGTGATATGCCTGAATATGAGAGTGGCAATGTGTTCTCTCTCCAGAGTGAGCAATGGGAACATGATTCAGGTGAGTAGACTTAAAATGACAAGGTCATGTAAATGTGAATTTTATGAATCTCTTCATTCATTGTTTTGATTTTTACATAGCTGAATATGTCTCTGTGAATGCCAGCCTGCACTTAAAATTTCATCCTTTACACCCAAACATCACCAGATATATTCTCCCTAGTGTTCTCTAGATATTTTCTAAGGTGCTGGTAAGGAGAATTTATTTAACAATCAAGAACTTCTTAAGTTGGTGATCATTTCCTTTATTCTTCTCATCATAAAGTTTGATCCAGGGATGATGTTGTTGGGAGAAAATAGATGCTCTATATAGTCAGTCATAGGGGTGAAAGGCTTTAATGAAGATGTACATGTCCATGTGAATGTTGGTCATTTCGCTGACGGTTGCTTTGCAAGTATCTCTAGTCAGTTCCTAAATGTGTAGAAGTCAGTTCGCAAATGTTGTCACGTCGCTGTACAAAGAATGCTTTTGAACATTAGATGACCTTTTGTTTTCTTAAAATGTAGCCTATTGTTTCGTTTTGATTGCGCGATTATAAAACATCCTTTGGCTAGCCACACAAAGAGTTATTTCAGTTTAGTTTCCTTTATATCATAGAAGTATATTAGGCCTTTTTTCATGCAAACATTTTAGTTTTAAGGAGTTGTCCCTGGAGTAAAGAGGAGTTTTATAGGAGTCTTTCAGAGTTTTTTTTTACAACTTGGAGTTCATCCCTGGAGCCAAGATCAGACGTAAGTCATGATCACTAGTTGCGTTTTCTGTTGTCAGATTTGTACTTTAGCTCGTTTCCTTAGCTTAGACAGATCGTGCATTCCTTTTAGTTTTCTCCGCAAGTGTTGTAACAAGTCACCTAGCCTGATTACATGATTTAGTCCAATAAACGTGTGTAAGAGTCTGCTGTCCGTCCTGTACTTCACTGTGGTTGACCTGGTGGACCCAATTATGCTGCACCCCGTGTCTGCCGTGCTGGGAACGCACCAAATGTTATAAACATTTCTATGTGTAGAAGTCAGTTCACACACTTTGTAGATTTGAGATGTCAACATTTGAGCATACAAACTAACTCTCTAGCTTAAGTCATACAGTCTTGTAGTTGATTTCACTCTATCACAGCGTTTGCATGTTGCATGTTGCATGTACAGTGGCTGTAATATGTAAATCATTCTACCGATATGAAACAGGTCTTACTGCTTTTGTGTTCTATCAGGAAGCTTTGCTCTTTGTAGGAAAGTCCACAACTACTGAGACATGGGATAAAAATTCCACCATCTTGGGATGAAATATTAACATGTTTGCTAAGTGACATAGGTGAAAGTTTCAATGTCCTTTGCTTTTCATTTCTGGTTCTAGTAGTGCCTCTGGCTCCATCGCTTGCTTTGGCCACAGCAATGTTTTAATGAAGTTGCTGTAATACACAAACATATTTATTGCTTGCAATTAAAATGAAATTACATGCAGGTACATGTGGGCTGTCTGAGTGACAGATTCTGAGCAAAAAGTGACAAGTGCCGTCAACTACCATTAACTTACAACAACAACAACAACATACTTTATTGACTTTCCCCAAGGGGGCTTTTCAAAGACAATGTTATAAAAATAATCCTATTACAATTAAAAAATCCTATTTACAATTAAAGATGTTTTAAAATCTGAATGTTCTAAAAGAAAACTTAACCAATTCATTTAAATGAAAATATACCTTATTACATGCAGGGATGTGTGGGCTATCAGAGTGACACCCGCCCCTATAATTACAATTTCAAATCATTATATTAACTTCTTTTAACCAAACCAATTCCTTTAACTTGAAGATTTAGATAATTTTTCCTTAAGGTAATTTCCTTCCTTCACTGATTGTCCAGCCTTTGTGAGGGTACAGGTTGAAAAGGCACAAGAACCAGTTTTTCATGAGGAAGAGGAAGATGTTCCTGTTGAAGCAGAAGAACTAATCTAGGATAGAATAGGAACTAGGATAGGAATATTTAAATCATCACAATGTTTTGTTTTGTTGAAAGGTCTTTTACAGGCAGAAAAAGTGAATAGAAAATTCAACCATATTTGTCTCAGTGTCTCAGGAATGAGGAACAGAATTAATGTAAAAATATTCATACTCATTGCCTAAAGTTAATATGTCCTCATCACAAGGTACTATATGAACAAGCAGCATGAAAATTATTAATTTTTATTTCTCAAAAGCTTTCAAATTAGAAATAACAGGAATCAATAAATAATCCCTTTACCACCCTCTCTAGATCATGGACTGATCCATCTTGTGATATATGACAAAGTGTATCATTCACACAAATCACACAGATTATGTATTATGAAATAATTTATCTTGATTTCATGATTTATCATGTGTCATTTATATGTCAAACAACAAGATTTATAAAGAAAGATCACAATATTTCCAGTTAAGTTTGATTGTAATTCTTGGTTTAGTTATGGTTAGTTCTATCATCCTGAATGAGCATGAATTCTAGTGTGCTACAATGGGCAATACTTTAGACTTGAATATTTCTTCAAGCTAGGTCAGTCAGGACATGGTACAGAGAGCAAAGTCAGAAAAAGCGAACTATAGATGACCACATACTAATCCATGCATTTTATTAATAGCTTTTTATATTCATGATGTCTTTAATGCAACAGTTTCCTTGTTTAGACTTATACATATGTAGATGTCATTGACACATATTATTTTAAAAAATTCCAGTGCTTACAACAGTTTTGATGTGCAGTAACACATAACCAACATTTCATATACATTTAAATGATCTGGGAGGTACTTGTTTAATGGACACACTGTTTCACATGTCTGCTTAACACAGCTTCAGGGAATAGAAGTAGAATGTATTGTACATGTATGTTGTATATATAACAAATGCTCTGTTTGTTTTGTGTCAACAAAATTAAATACCTGACTACAGAGTGCATAGATGTTGTCATTAGAATCTTAAACATTTCATTGATACAAAATGTTATATGAATGTTATTTGAACTGATGTTGATTTTTTCCTCTGCATTTCCAGATTGGTGCTAAAATATGCAAAAGGATTATGTATCTCCTGGTGAGTATAATGCTCATAACTTTGTGTGAATTAGCCCAACAAAGTTTTAAAATGGTATGTTTGAAGTAAAATATTGATTTGATGCAAAACACCATCAGACAGCTTAAGTTTTACGATTTCTTAAGGTTGACATCCATATGTATTATTCATTGCAACAATGCTTCAAATAGATGCCTATAATGGGTTTTTTCATTGATGGTATTTTTTGATAGACACACATTTTAATTTGCACTCTTTGTTGCATTCACAGAAAGCAACATTGAATATTCAAAGCAGAAACAATAACATCATGATTCAGAAAGGAATGTGGTAGCTTAATTATTTTTAACCACCAGCTTGTTTAACCCTTTTACTCCCATGTGTGACCAAGACAGAATTTCTCCTTACAATATCAATAGAATATCAAGAAAACAAGTGATGAGAATAAAGAAAATTATCAGTTAGAGTATTATAAATTTATCCAATATCAAATTCTCCAAACTAACATCACAAGAACTGTATGGCAGACAGTAAGGAGAATTAAGAATGAGATCTTGGGAGTAACAATGTAACAATTTATTTAGGTGACACAGATCTGAAGCTTGTAGCATATATATGACTTTTAGGTGTTTAGATATTTCATTTTGATATTGTATATATTGATTTATAACAACAAGCCACCTGAGTTGTATTATAACTGTTACAATAATCCATAATTCCCTTCAAAGTCCTGAGTATTAACTCAAAAACTAATGTGTGTATCAAGTTTTCTCTGAAGTATTTCTCTTGTGATTGAGGAGTTTAATTTCCTATTCTAAAAGTAATTTTAATAGCAATTTCATTGTCATGGATGTTGCAGTGACATGTAAAAATCATTATAAGAATATAGATTTTTATTGTTAGATGGCTTTTACTACTGCATTTTCTCATTCAGTTTCTTATTTCAATTAAAAATCGATAAAAGTAAAAGTAAAATAACACTAATAGCCACAAACAAATTAAAATAAAGTTAATGTTTAGAATCATTAAGTTTTTACAAGATACAGCAATAACATCAAGAAAATTCCGATCCAAAGGGGACACAACAAGGCAATGGTCATTGTCCACTCTCTAAAATTTGATGAGGTTTGAGAAAATCCTTTGTTTATTTGATTTTAAGACCTGGGATTCATGTCAGGAAAGAGTTAAGTTCA